TCATGAGAAATTATGCAGCGCTCGCGTAAATAATTCGTTACAAATGCAAGGAGGATAGATTAATGAAATCACAGAGCTAGCGATTGAGATCATGCACATGCGACAATTTTACGCCATTATGGAATATAAAAAATCGAATTCAAGTTGTTCTTGGTGACTTTATTCTCCATAATAACGAGGGAAGATTCAATGAAAATATTTAACTGGCAATTCTTTCTGTGCCGTTTTAAAACCTAGAGTGCTGACCTGTTTTGAGTACTGCCCATCGAGTTGTACGTATTGAGACCACCCTGATGCTGGGATCGCACTGGATAGATCACTCCGTCCCCAAGACTAAAACAGGCGGTTGGTATCCCCCCTCAGTTGTTTTTTTAAATATTTATCTAATCAATTTTCAATTCAACAGCGAAGTGGTAAAGGGTAACAGACAGTGAAATTTTTATAAATAAATCATTTTCTCATTACTCTCCACAAAAAATTATTTAAAAAAATGACAGCGTCTCTCTTACAGAGATTTGTTACTCTTTATCTCTTCAATTGAATTATTTTGATTATTTGGAAATAGTCTCCTATACGCCAATGATCTTCCTCACATAATCCTCTCTAAATTCACATAGACTAGATTCTTCGGTCTTTTTACTCATGCTCTCATTATCGTGTGGAAATTGAGATGCAACAACAGATACTTTGAGTCAATGGACATCCAATCAATTAAGCATTCGATCGAAAAGAATATTTGATTTAAATGCATGGCAAGAAATTACTAAAATTATGAGAATAAATAATAGTGTCACATAGCAGTGGTTTCAGTGTACAAATTCGAATGCTCTTTCTCTCAGTGCAGACTACACGTAAATAATTATAAATATTTATCTTATTGCTTTTATGATTTAATGGCTGATTCTAGATTGATAATTATTATGAGGATTGGTATTGTGCAGTTGGCTCAAAATCATTCTCTTATCAGTAATCATCTCTCAATTCTCGTCTTCATGGATAATAATTTCAATTGTGAAGGAGTAGAATATGGAAATTTTCGAAATACAAATTATTCAACTTTTTGGAATTTTTTTGACAGCTAATTGAATTTCTATTTGAGATATATGAAAAAAATAATAATTACTAATTAGACTCACCTAGTAAAAACGGGTAAACACCAGAGTCTCCCATTATCCCCAAAGACTTCTTGGAAGTTATTGTATTTTCCAATGCTGAAGCCATCTTTATCCTTGCCCATTCTGAACATTGGAGGTCTAAACGCCTCTGAAATAACAATAAAAAATTAAATATCGACAGTCACGAAAGAATAAATAGATTACTTGGTCCAACAATTTTTCCAATGAAATACGAACCCAAGGTCGATCTGTTGTGCAGAATGAGGTAGCAGTGGTAGAAAAATAGTGAGTTGAGACTGACAGCAAACATTAGAGAGACACAGAAAAGGAACAGCAGGTGAAATTTGCCCATTCCATCGAGTTCACCCTGATCACCAAACCAAATCTTCCATTAATTTGATAATTTACCCATTAATTATTACTTTTGGATAATTCAAGGCATTACCTTCCAGAAATGGATGAAATACTGGAGCGATGTTGCACCGATGAATACGCAGTAGAGCAATGCGTACATTAAAAAGAGCATGAAGAATTTGTAATTGTGGTAAGCCACGCAATTGTTCACCCAAGGACAGTGGTGATCCATCTTCAGGACACACTGACGACAGACACTGCAGTGATGGGCACGATCGGGTTTTATCAGCTGACATTTGTCACAGAATCGAATTGCTACAATAAAAATAAAATTCAATAGGCAAGGGAAATAAAATTCAATTACTTGCCATATTCGGGGATTTTTATTACATGAACTGGAAAATTTAAAAAAAAGAATGAAGATAAATCATACCCCCTCTGACAGTTCGATTAGTCACAGGTAAATCTTGTGCAAGTCTCTCAAGAATCGCTGACTGTGCCTCTTCACTCTGCGCCTGCTGGAGTTTCTCCATTTCCACAGCCGGTACCTTAAACTAAACAAACAATTCCCAATGATAAATAAATAAATGAAAAATCATCGATTTACTTCCCAATTTGTTTGCTCAACTCACCATATCCGGAATTGGCACTAATTCCGTAAAAACAGTCTGCCAGTATGACCACAGGAAGATAAGAAATAATATATGAAAGAAGAAGAGATAGAACGCTGAAACATGACGAGATATTATCAGTTGTGTCTCCAGAAAATTCCAGTGCCATTTTACTATATTTTATTCAATCGTGATGGTATAAACCGAGAGGAATCGATAATTATTCACCAATTCACAGAAATAATATTTCAATAAAAGAAGTATAATTAAAATATCCTCAAATAAATTCAATACATCCAGCTCTCCATCACAATTCAATAAAATACCCTCGATTTCCTTGAGCTACTCACCCTTTTGTACATAACTTTCAATAGTATCTGAAACAGATTGAAAGCACATTATCGAAAATCGATGAATCCATCATTACCTGATGAACACGACTCCCAAACTCATGAAATATAATGCAATAAAGCCCAAGCCCACCAAATAAATTCCCTTG